AATTGGGCAAAAATTGACTGAGCCGTGTCCATTAGAAGCTACCCAACTCACAAAAGTAAGTTTTGAGAAAAAGCAAGTCAAAGATTTGGTATGTTCCAAAACAAAATCCCATAGCAACCAGGCCATTTATCTGCTGTTTTGTTGTTGAATATATCTTTCCATGGGTTTTCAGGGGTGCTGAAGATGAAAATCGTAGTTAAAATTTGATCCGACTATTTTCGCAATTTATTTGCTATATTTTGTCGTTTAATATGTTTTTTATTTAGAATTTCAAGGGTGCTGATGACGAAAATCGTAATAAATGCACTCCTTTCGTAACGAAACATCCACAACACATACGGCATAATATTCACATGATAGTGTTATACTGAAGAACAATCTATACATTAGTAGTCTGTTGTGTATAATATAACTTTAGTGAGATTAACGCAGTCAATTAATTAGCAACTTAGTGCCAGCTAGTGGTCAGGAGATTAAGATTGTTGATTGGATAATCATCAAAGAAGCCGCCACAGCTGTACGCGTGTTCATTTAAAACGTGAATAAAAATAAGATTTTGCGTGTACGATAGGTCTATTTTTATTTTCAGGTACCGTGACGTTATCAAAATATGAGTCCCTATAGAAATGTCAATTTCATAGTCAAGAAATGCTTACGTTCACTTTCGTGCATTTTGGCTTTGATGTAAATATCAACATTATTCAGAGGATACTCAATGGCAGACTGAGAATCGTCGCATTTCGGCTCGTTGGTCGTTCTCATTTTTTCGACCCATTGTGATAAGAGAATTTTAAACAATAATATCCCAGATGCATTCCTTACTTTGCATGCCGTATGAAGAAGCGTCGGTAAACGGAATTCAGCTATCAATAAAATTCTCTTTGAAAAGAAAATTATTGGCCATTTTGTTTATTTCCATTTAAGGCCTATAGATTATTTTTTTTAAAGATGATATGAGATATCAAATAATCCCCACTTGGATTAATTATTCGGAGTAAATGAGTTGTCGACGGCTTTATCATTGACCCGTGACAGTTGATTAGTAATAGTATTACTCAATCAATGACACACACCCGCTTGTCGATTAATTTACATTATCAGCCACATGGTTTCGTTTAACACTCAACGGCAATCTCTATGATCAGAATTAATTTTTTTCTGCCACTTATCAGAGTGAATCGCATGTAAGTACCCCAAAACATTATCGCCAAAACCAAATATTTATGGATAATGTCTTGCACATGGTGTCTGGGCCAATCAGCAAAGGAGTTGTGTGGACAGCATGGCAACAGGCGGAGTTTATTTATATTTTTGGAGGGTTTTAAAACTCGATTGTATCCGTTCAAAATCAATTCATCGACAATATTTTGATCATATTTATAAACTAGAGATGCTCCGCTTTACAACGATGCCAATTGTTATGCAAGAGGAATGACCGGTCGTCCCGCTGCGAGCGAAGACAAATAACTAATTTCGCCGAGAATTTTAAGAAATAGGACAGATTTAAGAATACAAGTGTTTTAAAATGTTTTATTGCTATTTTGATCTTCTGTGTCGATAGATAGTATATTGATAGACTCATTTTTGTGAAAATCTCAATTTCGTTCAAAATCAATATTTTCACTTATTTTGTCTTTATCTCATTATTGATTCTCGCGCATTCCAACTCATTTAGATGCGGACGGTCACAAATATGAAAGCTTTTGAATAACCCTAATTAAACGAGAGTGATGAAATTTGTTGTATAATGTAGAATGTTTAAACTTGATGTTGATGTTCATTAAGTGAATGTCTTGACTGAGTTCAATGATTAACATTTCCCGCTAAAGCTAAGTAGAGCTAAGCAATTTCTTTGAATTTGATTCTATCTGATAGAGACTGATGAAACTTAGTGTATAGCTGATAATCGGTTTAATTGCTCGATACTTTTGAAAGAGATAAACATGCAATTAATTAATAGGTGTCACTATTTATTTCGGGATTTCGCGGGGGACATCAGCCTCACTGTTGGCTTATTAGTTTTTGCGGTGGGGGTACCACAGCTAAATAAGTTTGGAACTCATCCCGATTTTCATTATGCTGCTATTTCACATACTTTGAAAAGTGGCTTGTGGGAAATCTTTCTTGAATTCTACAAGGAGCTCACAAAGTTGTTTTTGCGTTTCTCGATTGAAACGTTGTAAAAATACCCAGTTTTCTTTACTGAGATTTGATTCTGTCAAATCATCACGATTCATTGTGCGAAAGACTAGCCAGGCCTCTATTAGCACTTTTGTTGATGAGCACACAAAAGAACTTGTTCCTCAGTATCCCTGCTACGTATGTTATAGATACAAGTTGTAGGCTTGGAGGAAATAATTATTTCAGAGATCACCTTTTCGATGAAGGAAGTAATTTCAAAAAGTGGTTCACCACAGAAAGTAGTAGTATTATTGAATGTGATGGGAGTAGAAATTTGTAATTCAGATCAAATCTTTTAGATCTTTGAAAAATTTGTTTAATGAATCGGCCACGTCTTTAGAATTTTCAAATGCTGGTAGCTTTGTGTTGCATTTCTTACCAATCAATGAGTGCGTGAATTATACACAGTGTTTAAGGTCATGAGACAAAGACTCCTATTGATTTTCAACGATTTCTGATAATTACTGCCAGAGCTATAGCCCTTAACCTCTTTGAAAAATCTTGTGGATGGAGGCTAAAGTTAATATCCAATTGCCTTTAAATTTATGCAATGTGTTTATGCTCATGAGACAAAGAAGCCTGTGGCTTTCAAACGATTTCCAATAATTACTGCCATACATATGGCCCTTGATCATGTTGAAAAATCTTGTGGACGCTCTGGAGGCTAAATTTAATATTCGATTGCCGTTATATTTATACACAGTGTTTATGATCATGACACAAGGAAGCCAATTAATTTTCAACAATTTCCAATAATTACTGCCAGAGTTATGGCCCTTGATCACTTTGAAAAATCTTGTTAATATCGGATTGACTTTAAATTTATACACAGTGTTTAAGATCATGAGACGATGAAGCCTATTTCCGATAATTACTGCCGGAGTTATGGCCCCTCTGGATATTCTAGAGACCAAAGTTATTATTATTATTGTACGATTTATATAGCGCTTCATTACATGTGAAGTGTTTCTAAGCACATTTCACAAACATATACTTCAAACACACAGAAACAATCAAAATCAGGAGAACATAATTTAACACAGCTGCCTGTTAGGCGCTATTATTCAAAGGTTTATATCCAACAAATCAACCGGCTAATCTCTATATTGAACTCAGTCGAGGTATTACCTGATGAACACCTACACCAAGTAGAGTTCAAAAATAAAAAACGAAGTTTAAAAGAATCAACTTCATTAACAAAAATGAAACAATCAAAAAGTAAACAGATAAATCAAATTTAAACAAAACAAAGAAAATGAAAAGAGCAGTTCATTACCATTCTACATTAACAAAATAAACGAAAACAACTTGTGAAAATCTTTTCAAAAAATAAGAGCAAAGTAACACTAATGTAATATGTACTCAGATTGATTTAACATTTAATTAAGAAAACAAAATCAAAATACCAACGCTAGATAATTTCCTGGCTTGGATTCAATCGAATTTAAAACAGGCCAGTCAATTTAGTTCATAGACGGTAACTGTCTTGTTAAAATTTGTCACATTTTTGTACATATTGAAAGAAACTGAACCATTTTTGGACTGATATTCATATTAGAGATTCAACTTTTACAAGGGCCACAATCTTTGAAAAAAGTCGAAAAATCGTTATATCTGTAAATCTGCTTCTAATAGTATAAGGGAGGTAAAACTGTTCAATGGATCTTTCTGAAACTTCTGGTACAGGAAGTTAAGTTCCCATACCACTTGTTAAATCTATCCCGAAAGTTATCATCTGATTGACTTGTTTAACTTCGGCAGAGGTGATTTTTTTGCCACTTTAATGGTTATTCCAGAAAGTCAAAACTCAATTTAAAATCGATTTTATAGACGGGTAATTAACTGTACTCCTTCTATAATTGTCTCTGTAATTGTCTCGAATAAATGACTGGTGCAAACAAACGATTGCTGATGGAATCATTAAAGTTTTAGATGCAATTGGGGAAAAAAAAACAAGCCAACAGTGAGGCTGATGTCCCCCACCGAAATCCCGAAATAAATAGATGACGCATATTAATTAATTGCATGTTTATCTTTTTCAAAAGCATCCAGCGATCAAACTGATTATCAACTATAACACTAAGTTTCATCACTCTCTATCAGATAGAATCAAAGTCAAAGAAATTGCTTAGCTCTACTTAGCTTTAATGAACATCAACATCAAGTTTAAACATTCTACCTCAATTAAAAGCAGAGTTGTTATGTTCCAAAGTCTTGACCACTCAAACTGCTTATCGCTCCTTAGCCTTAGCAGAAAATTCTCATCAAACTTAGTCATGGTAATGATATAATGAATCTATACTCAGAGTTTCCCAGCTCTCACTTAATTATAACAAAGTTATTGTGTCCAAAAGCATCAACCAATCAGATTGCTTATCTATGCTTACCGTAAGCAGACAAGGTTTATCATCGAACTCCATCAAGGCATTCTACCTCAATTAGAAGGAGAGTTATTGTGTTTCAAAGTCTCGACCAATCAAATTGCTTACCCTCAGCAGAAAATGGTTATTATCAAACTTAGTTAAGGTACTGATGTGATGAAACTATACACCACGTTTGATCACTCTCACTTAATTGGAACTGAAGTTATCGTGTCCCAAAGCATTAACCTATCAAATTGCTTACCTCTGCTTACCCTAAGCAGAAAGTGCTCATCTTCGAACTCCATCCAAGCGTTGACCTAATAAACACATTAATTGTACAGGGTGGTCTTAAATTTTTCACCACGATTGTAGTGTGAAGTCTGTTAGTAGGTGAATGTTTTATTACCTTACAATAAATTTTTAATTCTCAAAACCTATGTTTTAATTTACTTTAAGGAAAAATTAAAGTTAGTTACAGTATTGGGGGCAGGCTTACTTGTTGGTACAGCATTATCGGTTATCATTCCAGAAGGTGTTCATGCTATGTATTCAAGTGGAAGTGAGTATATCATTTAGCACCCACTACTTTTATTATCCTGAACAGTAGGACGTTAAACCTCATTTCATTTCATTTATTATCCTACAAAATTTCAGTCATAAATTATTTTTATACGTCCACATTTTCATGTGGCCATATTATGTCGTCGCCCTGTCTGGCATTAATTAGCTCATTCGGACCAGATTCTTTAGTGATATGCTTCTAAGTTAACGGTTCGTTAATTCATTCATTCTTGGCATTTCATTTCTTTATCCGTCCCTAATTTGACAGGTAACGAAACGACCTATTCCAAACTGGTTGATGATTTGTTCTGACATAAATAATTAAAAACATACCTTTTGGATTTTTAAATACAAAATAAGTTAAATTATTTAACAAGTCAGTCATAGAATTTACTACACACATGGTCGTTTCTCTATCCGTGAGGGAAGATAGTACCAATGCCATGGCAATAGCCTGTATATGTTATTGTCGTCAACTTTGAACCCATCATCGGCCCATGGCATCATGATAATATAAATACTTCTATTATACGCCCACATGGAAATGTGGTCATATATTGCCGTCACCCCTGTCCGTCCGTCCGTCCGTCCATCATCCACAATTTCTTGTGAACACTCTACAGACTACATTTATCATCTGATTGTTTTGAAATTGATATATGTCGTTTGCATTAGTGAGATGAAAAAGCCTATTTAATTTCTTCTGAAGTTATGGCCCTTGTTTCACTTTGTTGCACCTTGTGAAAAAGTTATTATCCAAACTGTATGAAATTTATATGCATCATTTAAATTAGTAAAACAAAGAATCCTATTGAATTTCAGCTATTTCCTTTAATTACATCTAGAGTTATGGCCCTTGTTTCACTTTGTTGAATCTTGTGGACGTTCTCTAATGACAACAGTTATCATCCAATCTGTTTGAAATTGATATGTATCATTTAAATTAGTGCAACGAAGAAGCCTATTAAAATTCAGCAATTTCCGTTAATTACACCGTGAGTTATGGCCCTTGTTTCACTTTGTTGTACCTTGTGAATGCACTAACGACAAAAGTTATTATCCAATCTGTATGAAATTTATATATATCGTTTAAATTAGTAAAACGAACAAGCCTATTGAGTTTCAGCAAATTTCTGTTAATTACATCTAGAGTTATGGCCCTTGTTTCACTTTGTTGAATCTTGTGAATGCTCTAATACCTACAGTTAGATCATCCGATCTGTTTGAAATTAAATTGATATGTATCATTTAAATTTGAATAGCAGTAAAATTTAGCGTCTTGGTTATTACAGCAGCTTTAGAAATTACGTTCGTTTTATTTTTATACGTCCACATTCATAATGTGGACGTATATTGCCGTCACCCCTGTGTGTGTGTGTGTGTGTGTGTGTGTCTGTGTGTCGCCTACAGGCCACAATTCTTAAGTGATCATCTTCAAACTTTACATACTTATTCCTTATACCCTAAGGATGATCCCTATTGTTTTTGGTGCATGCCCGACCCCCAGGGGCAGAGCCACGCCCATTTGTTGTATTTCTTTGTTTTTCATCTACAGGCCGCATTACTTAACGTATCATAATGAAACTTTGCATACTTATTCTTTGTACCCTAAGGAACATTCCTATCGTTTGGGTTGCATGCCCTACCCCCAGGGGCAGAGCCACGCTCATTTTCTTTTTGTGTGTCGCCTAAAGGCCACAATTCTTAAGTGATCGTCTTGAAACTTTACACACTTATTCCTAATACCCTATGGATGATCCCTATTGTTTTTGGTGCATGCCCGATCCCCAGGGGCAGAGCCACGCCCATTTCTTGTATTTGTTTGTTTGTCGTCTACAGGCCGCATTTATTAACGTATCATCTTGAAACTTTGCATACTTATTCTTTGTACCCTAAGGAACATCTCTATCTTTTGGGGTGCATGCCCAACCCCCAGGGGCAGAGACACACCCATTTCCTTTTTGTGTGTCTGCGTGCCGCCTACAGGCCACAATTCTTAATGGATCATCTTGAAAAAATTTCGTATGAATTCGTTATACCCTATGGATGATCCCTATTTTTTTGGTGCATGCTCGATCCCCATGGGCAGAGCAACGCCAATTTCTTGTATTTGTTTGTTTGTCGTCTACAGGCCGCATTTCTTAACGTATCATCTTGAATCTTTGCATACTTATTCTTTGTACCCTAAGGAAATTCCTATCGTTTGGGGTGCATGCCCAACCCCCAGGGACGGAGTTACGCCCATTTCTTGTATTTGTTTGTTTGTCGTCTACAGACTGCATTTCTTAACGTATTATACTGAAACTTTGCATACTTATTCTTTGTACCCTAAGGAACATCCCTGTCGTTTTGGGTGCCATGCCCTACCCCCAGGGTCAGAGCCATGCCCATTTTCTTTTTGTGTGTCTGTGTGTCGCCTACAGGCCACAATTCTTAAGTGATCATCTTGAAACTTTACACACTTATTCCTTTAACCCTATGGATGATCCCTATTGTTTTTGGTGCATGCCCGACTCCCTTGGACAGAGCCACGCCCAATTCTTGTATTTGTTTGTCATCTACAGGCCGTAATTCTTAACAGATCATTTTGAAACTTTGCATACCTATTCCTTATACCCCAAGGATGCTCCCTATTGTTTTTTGGTGATTGCCCAACCCCCAGGGACAGAGCCACACCCATTTGTTCTTTGTGTCTCTGTGAGTTGCCTACAGGCCACAATTCCTAATCGTCTTTGAACTAGGGATATGTATTCCTTATAGCCTAAGGACGACAACTGCTTGTCCCGCCCCCCAGGGGCAGAGCCACGCCCAATTTTTGTGTTTATCGTTTACAGGCCGGAGTTCTGAATGGATCAACTTTGTACTTGACATATGTATTCCTTATAGCCTAAGGGTGTCAACTATTGATTTTGGTGAATGCCCCGACCCCCAGGGGCAGATCAAAGCCCAATTTTTGCCTTTAGAGCCCGAAGGCCACAATTCTGAATGGATTATCTTGGAACTTGGAACACTTATTTCTTATACGCTAAGGACGGCACCTATTTATATTGTTCCATATCCAACGGCCAGGGGCAGAGCCACACCCATTTTTTGTATTTATCGTCTACAGGCTGCAATTCTGAATGGATCATCTTGGAATTTTGCATATTTATTCCTTATACCGTAAAGACAGCAACTATTTATTTTGGTGCTTGCTCCGACCTCCTGGGACAGTGTCACACCCACTTTTTGGTTAGTATTTTGTCTGTAAATTTGGCAAAACAAACCTAGCCGTCTTTGCCTTTTATCATATTACAACCATTTCATTTTTCATTCTCTTCATTTTAAAAAGTACCATATCAATCAATGCTGGAATGTGGACGTATATTGCTTTATCATTAACTGTACCGTTAAGAGCGGCATCTTTTGGTTTTGTACAAATAATATCTCTGAATCACTTTCATTAGCAGGAACATGATACTAGCAGTAGTTTCATTTTACTTTTACAAGCTTCTTAAAACAATTGTTGAGCTGGCTAACGTGCTTTTTTCTAAATTCAATTTCTTGTTCCAGCTTTCTGTTATGTTTCGTAAAAAGGTAGTCTTGATTATCCCGACCTGTCAATCAGACGTAGAATGGTTGGTACACTGGTTAAGCGAGACTAATTTCAAAACAAGAGCACGTAACCTATCTTTTTGTCAAAAGTATCTGGATGTTATGGACGAAACTTGGAACCAGTTTCAGTATATTATTTATAGATGATTAAATGGTCATAGCTTATTAAGTACAACATGATCGTTTATTTAGTGACTATAATTGTGTGAAACTGATTTAAGGCTTGATATATATATATAAATATTGTGCCGTAAACTGGGCTAATGAAGACGGGCATACACCATACAGTGTGCTATGAGGGAAATTTTGCCAGGGCAGCGGTACTACGGCCTACTCTTATATCGAATTCCAACTGCCAAGGGATCATTTACGTGCACGCCAATGTGCACATGTGACCTCGGTTTTTCGTCCCATCCGAACGACTAGAAAGCAGTCCTTGTCAGGCCCTCCGTCTTGCATCACTGACAAGGGGAAACCACGCTGGAAAATCTGGATGAACTTTCTTGGCCAATGCAGGGATCGAACACCCGACCTCCAGGCTAATGAGCCAACGTCTTACCCACTTAGCCACGTGATCCCCCTAATTACAGCTAGAGTTATGGCCCTTGTGCCTTGTGTCATTTTGTTGAATCTTGTGAACGCTTGAACGACAAAAGAAAAGTTACTTTTAATAAGAAATAAACTGTTCTTTGAAAATAAAAAAAGTAGTTCCTTTTCAACTGACCAATCAAATTCATGTAAAGCGATATCGCAGTAGATTATGAAATATATCACAAAAGCGATATCTACTGTAGAATGTATTATTGGGTGATAATTAATGATGAGTGTCTGGTAGTAGAACAATAAAAGTTAATTGATATGTGGGAATCTTATCAATGGCGGTGAAGTGGTCCATTGTTATGTTAGTCATTAACTATTTGAACACCCAAGTATTGTCCAGGTGTCATAGGAATTTTCTAGAACAAAAGATTATTATGATCTTCGAAAAAAGGGCAATCGGATATCAAGTACTGCTCTTCGAATCCAACCAAGTTTTAAATTAAATAAAAACAGCATAGAAATTACGTAAATCCTCAATAACAATGTACGGGTCGTAAGAACCAGCGGTTGGCAGGCAAGATACGCCCACATTTTGCAAGAGATGGATAGAGAACAAGCTAAAAACAACTAAAAACAGTTTACAAACCAATCGTTTCACCTTCGTTTTTATAAGGGTAGATAACCATATTCATGTCCATTTACTGAATGATTTATGTAAATAATGTATATATTTATAATTTATTTATATTTAATTGTATTATCAAAATCTGTAGTATGTGTTGTTGATTTCAAATATGTAAACATCTATAAGTTTGACTTTTGTTATTATTACTATTCGTTCTTTGTCTGAAATATGTCATTCTGTTATGTTTATTATTATTGAACTGATACTTGGCAATTTGATTCACAATAACTTGTGTACAATATCACTTGGACATAAAATTCCGGGAACGAACGAACGAACGATTCTAAATAAAACTAATGACCCTACATTATTATATGAACGTCTGGTCTTAATTAACATAATATATAATTGGTTGTTAATAATTACGCATTAAGAATAGGCCAACTTCTAACATTGTCCGATGAGAGTTACTTACCTTTGCCAACTTCCTTTTCAAATAACAATTTATGGGATTGGTCGATAAAAATAGCACAATCATCAAGGGCGGATAACTTGAAAACGTGTCTCCTGCATAGATTAACCCAGGGTATAGTAGAGTAGAACAGAATGACTACACTGGGTAACCGAGAATGGGTGGCTAAGTCGGTAAGACGCTCGCTCGCTAGCCTGGAGGTCGGGTTTTCGATCCCTGCATTGGCCGAGAAAGTTTATCCAGATTTTCCGGTGTGGTTCCCCCTTGTCAGTGATGCAGGACGGAGGGCCTGACAAGGACAGCTGTCTAGTCGTTCGGATGGGATGAAAAACCGAGGTCCCGTGTACACATTGGCGTGCACGTAAAAGATCCCATGACAGTTGGAGCAAAATTTCCCTCATAACACACTGTATGGCGTATGCTCGTCTTAATTAGTCCAGACGGAGCAGAACAGTGACGTTAAACCCCATTTCATTTCATTTCATTTTGTTTTGAACGATTAAATTTATAATTTTTATTTTGTAGGAAGACATGGCGCTAGTTATCATCATGTTGAAAAATTAGCGCCTGAGACTATTAGGAGGAATGCAAACATCAAATTAATACATTCCAATGTTAAAGAAGATGGTCTTGAAGATTCCCATCATGATATGTCTGAAGAGCACAGTCGTATTGGCATTAGCTTGGTGGCTGGTTTTATATTTATGTTATTAGTTGACCAGTTAGGTGGTTCACATTTTCATGCTGCTTCAGGTAAATCAACAGAAACTAACGTTTCACATTTAAATTGTCTTCACCATTGTCTATCAGTAGCTAGTCCGTCCACTTTTTGAGTTGAGCACTCTGCATGTTTTCGGTCTTCTGTCCTTGTACTCTGGTGACTTCTAATGTTGTGTAATCTGAAAGTAGTGTCCAGAAAAATAAAATTACAGACATAAAATGTGGTCGTATGTTGTTGTCGCCCCCGTCCGTCGGTCCGTCTGTCCGGCGTCCACAATTGCTTGTGGATGCTCTATAGGCTAAAGTTAATATCTGATTGACATTAAATTTATACACAGTGTTTGAGGCCATGAGATGAAGAAGCCTATTGATTTTCAACAATTGCCGAAAATTACTGCCAGAGTTATGGCCCTTGATCACTTCAAAAAATCTTGTGGACGCTCTATAGGTCAAAGTTAATATGCAATTGACTTTAAATGTATACAGTGTTTAAGGTCATGAGACGAAGAAGCCTATTGATTTTCAGTGATTTCCGATAATTACTGCCAGAGTTATGGCCCTTGATCACTTTGAAATATCTTGTGGACGCTCTAGAGGCTAAAGTTAATATCCGATTGACTTTAAATTTATACATTATACACAGAAGCCAATTGATTTTCAGCGATTTCCGATAATTACTGCCAGAGTTATGGCCCTTGATCACTTTGAAAAATCTTGTGGACGCTCTAGAGGCTAAAGTTAATATCTGATTGACTTTAAATTGATACACAGTGTTTAAGGTCTTGAGACGAACAAGTATATTGATTTTCAATCAATCTTTATGACTTGAACAGCTAAATCCATGATGTTAAAAGATTCGTATACTAAATGTTAGCATGGGGCAGAACTTTATAAAAACCAAACAAATTCTAATTGTTTTTCTGATAATTACTTAATGAGTTGTTACTCTTAATCAGATTTTAATGTATTATAAATGTTTCATTACCGAAAAAAGTAAAAATATGCGACAACTCTTGTTGACTGCCCTGATGATATAGCTGCTGTGGGTGTATGTTTCGTTGCCTGGCAACCTATCTTTTATATTGTCTTCCCTATGGATCCGTCGTTCAGTGAATGCAATAGATCCGCAAAAAACTGTAGCCACTATTACGTTCACAAGGCATTTGTTGACAGAAAAATCTAAATTTCATGTACGTATAGCCAATGGTTACTGTATCCACTTTACGGCAAATTCACACCAATCTGATTAAAATTAATTCGGCTATTAACGTCTAAAGGAGCTAAATCGCTAATATTTGAGACCTAGAAATTGACACATATGGGTCACAATGCATATAATAATGTAATGTGAATGTATATAAACTGCTTTATATTCAACCGTTTCTGTTTTTACTGTAATTTCTAATCAGTTATGTTCGTCGAAATGCGACAAAAGTCTCAATTGAATGACAATCTTTAGCGTCTGGTTATTCCATTCTACACCGATGATATTTATTGCGCATGCTCTCCAGATAAGAATATAGCGTCACCATTTGACATGACTTGTGGAATATGTCTAGCCGCGTTCTTTGAGTCCCTTGTTCCAAATGGCGCTGAAACGCATTATGGTACACGATTCGTGTACCAATGGTAAAATGTTTATTTTGTCTTGAATATTGGATATCAGAAGCCCATCTTTTCCCTGTAAGATCACAAGACCAATGTTGATTTGAATTGACAAATAATTTGTGTTTTCAATGTAGAAGATTTTTGATGATATTGAGTTAGAGACTTAGCTACTTTAAGTATCTAACACGCCAAAACGCTTTTCAATTTTTATACACCCACATTTTCATGTGGATGTATATTGTCGTCGCCCCTGTCCGTCTGGACGTCCACAATTGTTTGTGGACACCCTACAGGTCACAATTTTTATCCGATTTCAACGAAACTTGAAATATAGGTTTATCTCCCTAAGATCTTGGTTCCTTTCGATATTGGCATGTATTGGACCGTAACTTCATGGATTATGGCCCCTGATTGTATGTAAAATCTTAGCTTGTGGACCCAATAGTGGTCACAATTTTTATACGCCCACATTTTCATGTGGACGTATATTGTCGTCGCCCCTGTCCGTCCGTCCACAATTTGTTTGTGGACACTCTACAGGTCACAATTCTTATCCGATTTTGATGAAACTTGAAATATAGGTTTATCTCCAAAAGATCTCGGCTGCTTTCGATATTGGCATGTATCGGATCGAAACTTCATGGATTATAGCCCCTGTTTCTACGAAAAATCACGTTTTTAGCTTGTTGACACTATAGAGGTCACAATTTTTATCCGATTTTGTTGAAACTTGAAATGTAAATTGATAACCCAAAGATCTCGGCTCCTTTTGATATTCGCGCATATCAGACCTTAACTTCCTGAATTATGGCCCCTGATTGTACGAAAAATCGCGTTTTTATACGCCCACATTTTCATGTGGACGTATTATGCCGTCGCCCCTGTCCGTCTGGACGTACGCCCGTCCACAATTGTTTGTGGACTCTCTACAGGTCACAATTCTTATCCGATTTTGATGAAACTTGAAATATAGATTTATCCCCAAATTATCTCGGCTGCTTTCGATATTGGCATGTATCGGATCGAAACTTCATGGATTATGGCCCCTGATTGTACGAAAAATCACGTTTTTAGCTTGTGGACCCTATAGAGGTCACAATTTTTATCCGATCTTGTTGAAACTTTAAATGTAAATTTATAACCCAAAGATCTCGGTTCCTTTTTTTCCTTTTGATATTCGCGCATATCGGACCGTAACTTCCTGAATTATGGCCCCTGATTGTACGAAAAATCGCGTTTTTAGCTTGTGGACCCTATAGAAGTCATATTTTTTTATCCGATTTAAAAAACCGTATTATTATATCACTGTTACACCCTAAGGACGGTTGAGTTTGAATTTCGTGAAAATTGGCCCAAAACTGACAGAAAAAATGGCCGCCCTTCGTTCTCAAATAGCGTGAAAATATGGTATAGAGGTCACAATTTTTATCCTATTTTGTTGAAACTTGAAATTTAAGTTTATAACCCAAAGATTTCGGTTCCTTTCGATATTCGCGCATATCGGACTGTAACTTCCTGAATTATGGCCCCTGATTGTACAAAAAATCACTTTCTTGTTAGCTTGTTCTCTATCCATCTCTCGAAAATGTGGGTGTATCCTGCCTGCACTGTAAAACTTGTATCGTTTAATAAGGGGTTTTTAGCGCTAAAAACTATGCATATAGTTTAATTTAAAAACATTGTTTGATATCGATAAACATCGTTTGGAAATTACAAAAATCGTTGAATTAGTACTATAGTTTAATTTAATGGTACACCGTTTAATTTCTCCAAGAGGTGTTTAGAAATGGCCGAAGCGTTGACTTATCTAATGCGTTTATTTATTAGACGAGCAGTTCAATTTCCCGAGAGGCGTTTAAAAATCAACACCTGTTAATTTATCTACTATGTTTAACTATTAGATGAATCGTTTATTTTCCCGCGAAAATGGTTAATTTTGATTACGATTATTTGCATATGAAGTGCGAATAAAAATGGTGAATATAAAAAAAAAGCACACCCGTAGATACTCGCCTTACCGTGGTCGTAGTATTATTATCCATTATCCATTCAAAATAGTAATTCCGCTATTGACAAATACATCAAAAATTGGTAAATCACGTCCGAGGTAATTATACATTTGGTGAATATAAAAAAAAAGCACACCCATAGATGCTCGCCTTACCATGGTCGTAGTATTATTATCCATTATCCATTCAACATAGTAATTCCGCTATTGACAAATACATCAAAAATCGGTAAATCACGTCCGAGGTAATTATACATTTGGAAAGCCGTAAATCACATCCCATTCGTTCGTTCGTTTGTTCCTGGAGTTTTACCCTTATTGTAGAACAACATTACACCAAACTTCGTACTTCCCCACAACAATTCGAGATTGGGAATTATTAGAGGACCGCATAAAGCAATCAACCAACATTAAATCCTTCAAATATCTATACAAACAAAAATTACATTCCTTAATACATAAAGCGCCAATCTACTACTGTAAAGGTAATAGACATGAAAATATTATTCACACTAAAATATGGCATGGGTGTAGTTCGTTGCAAAATGATTTGTATGAAATAAACGTTGTAGATGATCCCACATGTTCTTGTGGCAAATTTATAGAAAATGCTGAACACTATTTTCTGCAATGTCACTTATATGATGTAATTCGTGCTGAGCTATTAAATACATTGTCAAATTATTCTGTGATAAATATAGATATCCTATTATGCGGCAATTCAGAATTGTCAATTGAGATGAATACAAACCTTTTCCTTGAAGTTCACAAATATATCAAACTTTCAAAACCATTTAAATAAAAGTTAATGATATTAGTTACATCTTAGTATATATTATTAGCAATAGCTTTTTTGGTGGATAACATCTTGTTGGTATTAAATTTTGTCTTTTATTTGTATGTATGGAAAGGGCTTTTCTAAGTTTTTGAAACTTGTGCTCAATCCTTTTCATATTTGTCAATAAAATATGTTTAAACTAATGAGGCATTAAAAAGATAATCATGTTTGTAAAATGAATATAAATAACCATCCTAAAAAATGTTTATAAACTAATGAGGCATTAAAAAGATAATCATGTTTGTAAAATGAATATAAATAACCATCCTAAAAAACCCTAAAAACTCAGATTTATAACACATTTAAGAATTTAAAAAATAATTGATAAATAGAGATGAAAATATAAGCCCTATGAGAAATGTAAAGATATTTAGATAACACAAAATATATTAGATGTAAAAATTTTTTTAAAAAGGTGTAAGGAGGTTAACTTATTTAAACAGAATTATATGAAAGACACGTAAAACTTATATTGAAAACATTGTAGAATTATAGAATATTTATAGAACATTTATAGGAAAATTGTATAAAGAGCATTCATAAATATCAAAAAAGCTATCAAGATGGAATGAACTGAATAGTGTATTACTTGATGAGACTGTCGTATGCTCTTGGGATGAATAGGCCAGGATCACGTTATGTGTTGATGGATGGAAAGGGAGTTGCCACTGAACAATCAGCATTTAGAGAGGTGGCAAAACTGGTGTATGCAAAATACTTTCATGATACCGTCTACTGTCTCTCAACTACAACTATTCAAAGCGGATTATACATCATCAAGCTAAATGTTTCAGTTTCCAGGCAGTGGTCTGTTTCCTGAAATTTGATAAAAAAAAATCAGTTATTTGCAGTATTTTGTACACAAAACTTTGAAGTGGCAGGGGGCGGGCCTTATTTTGAGGGTAGGTCAATAAATTTGGTACCAATAATTTTGTATTGGTCCAGTGAACACTCCTGCAATTGGACGTAAATAAATAATTTATAGTCCCCCCTAGCATTGGGTTCATGAGATTTTGAACCCTATCGATATTCGGGGGTTTCGAAGTTACTCCCCTTTGCTGAAAACCGTCTGAATGAGAGCCTAGAGTTTGTAACAGAGTTATTTCAAATTTTGTGTGTAGCATGAGAGGACGAACCATATCGATTGTCAATGATCCTTGACATTCCGTTCCGAATATACTGGGTACACCCCTTTTGTGAAAACCTGTTCTTTGTCCATCTATTGCAAAATGTGGGCGTATCTTGCATAACAGCCGCTTGTTATCGTTTTCTGTCAAACGATTTTTTTTAAGCATTGGGTCAATGAAAGGAAGAGGTATATCTTGCCTAGCAACTGATTGTTAATAATATGTGACCCTCTACAGCATACTGAGTCACAATGAGGAAATTTTGAAAATTGAGTTATTGTTATTTTCAATTTGATGTATAGTTTGTTTGAATTGGGCAAAAATTGACTGAGCTGTGTCCATTAGAAGCTACCCAACTCACAAAAGTAAGTTTTGAGAAAAAGCAAGTCAAAGATTTGGTATGTTCCAAAACAAAACCCATAGCAACCAGGCCATTTATCTGCTGTTTTGTCGTTGAATATATCTTTCCATGGGTTTTCAGGGGTGCTGAACACAAAAATCGTAGTAAAAATTTCCGCAATTTATTTGCTATATTTTGTCGTTTAATATGCTTTTTATTTAGGATTTCAAGGGTGCTGACGACGAAAATCGTAATAAATGCACTCCTTTTGTAACGAAACATCCACAACACATACAGCATAATATTCACATGATAGTGTTATACTGAAGAACAATCTATACATTAGTAGTCTGTTGTGTATAACATAACTTTAATGAGATTCAGTTAATCTCATCAATTAATTAGCACCTTAGTGCCAGCTAGTGGTCAGGAGATTAAGATTGTTGATTGGATAATCATCAAAGAACCGCCACAGCTGTACGGGTGTTCATTTAACACGTGAATTAAAATAAGATTTTGCGTGTACGATAGGTCTATTATTATTTTCAGGTACCGTGACGTTATCAAAATATGAGTCCCTAAAGAAATGTCAATTTCATAGTCAAGAAATGCTTACGTTCACTTTCGTGCATTTTGGCTTTGATGTAAATATCAACATTATTCAGAGGATACTCAATGGCAGACTCGAGAATCGTCGCATTTCGGCTCGTTGGTCGTTCTCATTTTTTCTACCCATTGTGATAAGAGAATTTTAAACAATAATATCCCAGATGCATTCCTTACTTTGCATGCCGTATGAAGAAGCGACGGTAAACGGAATTCAGCTATCAATAAAATTCTCTTTGAAAAGAAAATTATTGGCCATTTTGTTTTATTTCCATTTAAGGCCTATAGATTATTTTTTTAAAGATAATATGAGATATCAAATAATCACCACTTGGATTAATTATTCGGAGTAAATAATGAGTTGTCGACGGCTTTATCATTGACCCGTGACAGTTGATTAGTAATAGTTTTACTCAATGACACACACCCGCTTGTCGATTAGTTTACATCATCAGCCACGTGGTTTCGATTAACATTTCTGCCACTTATCAGAGTGAATCGCATGTAGGTACCCTAAAACATTATCACCAAAACCAAATATTTATTGATAATGTCTTGCACACGGTGTCTGGGCCAATCAGCAAAGGAGTTGTGTGGACAGCATGGCAACAGGCGGAGTTTATTTATATTTTTGGAGGATTTTAAATTCTCGATTGTATCCGTTCAAAATCAATTCATCGACAATATTTTGATCATATTTATAAACTAGAGATGCTCCGCTTTACAACGATGCCAATTGTTATGCAAGAGGAATGACTGGTCGTCCCGCTTCGAGCGAAGACAAATAACTAATTTTGCGAAAATCTCAATTTCGTTCAAAATCAATATTTTCACTTATTTTGTCTTTATCTCATTATTGATTCTCGCGCATTCCGACTCATTTAGATGCGGCCGGTCACATATGACTCATGACAAGATATAGTCACCGTCCCAACGTGCAACAATATGTTTCTCATGCATGCCATTTGTTGATGGTTACATGCTCATTGCATGTCATTCAAGATTTCATGTTTTTTTATTTCAGATTTAGAATCTGGAAGTGAAGCTTTAGCACATAATAGAAATAAAATTACAGCAACTGTGGGTTTAGTAGTACATGCTGCTGGTAAGTAATGTTAATCATAGTGATGGTAATCAATAAACAAATTCAACAGGATTTTTATATGCCATTATTTAACATGAAAGTATTTTGTAATAACCAGGTAATTTTCATACATCCACATTCATAATGTGGAACTTATGATTTCTATCCTCTGTGTGTGGGTGCGTTTGTATATGGTGTATATGGAGCAGGGGTTGAAATGTTTGTAAAATTTTGCTTGTCTCGGGTGACAAGTAGAAAATTTTTTTACTTGTCACTTGGTCATTTCAAGTTGTCACCACTGATTCTTGTTTTTGATAACAAAAAAAAAAGAACTGCCAGGCAGATGTGAAAGCTTTCAAATTCACGTTCACTTTCTGCTAGTGTTGAAAATCGGACCAAGATTTGTGATCCGAATACTTTTGTTGGCTATCCGAATACTATTCGGATAATTCGGAGACGTGAAATTCGTGAACAAAATTACAACAAAAGTTCATATACTCATAATTTCTCACTTGTTTCAATGTTTATGAGTGTCTGTGTATGCCGAGTATGAGTATGAAATCGTACTTTCGATTTGCAAATTGTTTGAGCCGCAAAGAAAAACAACGTGCCTACCTTTAGCCGTAATTATTGAGACTATCTATGATATCCCAAAAAATCAATGAGGTGAAGAAATTTGTATAGTATAACTACTCCTGTAATCCACAGCCCTCCCACTTATCATTTTGCTCAATCAACGCGAATGAAAAAAGTAAAATAAAAACATGTGCCATTTATTCCGCCAAGGCCGTTTGCCTCATTCTGATAACCTACTACTATTGAACCAATCAGTGAATGGGAATATATGTGACCTAGGTCATTATGAATAAATTTCACTGCGGGAAGTCAAAACACGGTCTAAACTTGTATGCCGTAAACTAGCGCAGGGAATGAATGAATATTTTTTTTTGTTTAGACTACTGTTTTCGTTGCACTGCATTAATAAGTTACTATCACTAAATAATACGCATAATGTTGACATTTATTCTCAGAGCTGCATACGTGATCAATTGCATTGGGGAAAATTTCAAAGTAATCAGATGTAAAAATGGCTATACGTATACGCCATACGGAATGTCAGAATATATTGTAACGAATAGTAAACGGACAGTAAAATGATTCCGATAACCCTTATTTTGTATCTGTTAACGAATATCCGAATAGTAGTTTCAACACTACTTTCTGCAACATGTCATGGGTTATATAAGGAATCTCAACTATTTTCTTGTTATAAAAATCAGACAAAAACCTGCAAAGTTATAAGCCTAAATATAGTTAGAAATATTGCACCAGGCAAAAAATAATCTGATAAATATAGGGAAATAACTCAGACTAGTATTGCTGTAATCGGATTGACTTCCTGTTCCAGAAGTTTCAGAAAAATGGATCAAGCCGTTTATAAATGGGACGGATTAGAAAATGAAATGAAAATGGTGGAAAAGAACTAAAAATGGTAGGAAAATATGGAAGAGTTCAGTTAGACAACCTTAAATGGAGTTGAAATTTTTGGAATCAGATTGACCTCAGCTATTCGAATATGTTAATTTTGAAAATTAAGGAAATGAAATGTCCTGTAAAGAACTTTGTCGGCACGAAAAGTGTCAAATTCGAAACTTTGAAATTTTCAAATACCCAAAATTTGACCCTGATCTCGACTATCTAGAAATGTATTCATTATGGAAATAAGAGACTAATTCTCCAAACTACGGCCTATTGTGTTTATTTTAATGGCCGTTAAGGTAGAATTTTCACTTTTTTTTCATATTCCATTTAAAATGGTGACGGTCAGTTGACTGAAATCAAAATTCTGGTCCGCCCGTTATTTAGGCATTCTCTTAAGGATTAAAAAAATGTAACTCCCATGTCTGTAAGTGAAATATCGCAAAAATCTTAATGATTTTTCATTTTTCAAGATGATGGCTCGATCGACAAACTCCATATTATGTGTACACATCAGTAGTGTCTTAGCTAGTACATAAATAAATTTTCAAGGCAATCTGACCTACATTTTTTTTCAATTTTTTTAAAACTTTGACCCTTAATTTCTCCATGGGGCGATAAGTTAGAAAATTTCTAACGACATGGTTGAAGTTGAATCAGCCAGGTCTACTTGCATGCCAAGTATCATGTAAATCGTGCTAATATTAAAAAAAGTTGTCAAGATGTGTTTTACCTCCGGTATGAGATGTCCTAATCCAACAAGTTAGATGTTACTCTTTGATATTCTGAGGACGTAACATCTAACATCCGAACGGTCAAAACCTTGTCGCAAAAGTTGATAACTAGTTTACTTCTTCTAGCGGACGGAAAAATTAACAATTTTCAGTTATCTGCACTGCTAACACATTAAACTTACATATCATATCCATCTATGTTCCGAAAAATATTTTTTGCTGTCTATTTTAAGAGATTTCACAAAAATCTTCGCCTACACACAACAAAACACGGTGAAACAGGAAATGACCTACATTGGTCAAAGTTGAAATCTGGCATGGTGCATATTACGAACATAATTCTTTAAATGAAATGAAATCATGAGACTATAATTTGAAGGTGATCATTTTAAATTTATTTTTAGTGATGGTCCGATTATCGGTTTCACTATTCAGTAGCCTAATTGTCCGATGAGTGGCCTATCAGAAGATATTTTACCGATATTTGCGTAGCCGATATCTGTTCAATATGACTCGGCAGCCAATAAATCTTTTCATAGAATATTATTCAAATTGTGAACAAAGCATTCTTTTTAGTCTCTTACTTAAAATGGCACTCGGCCCTTTTATTTTAGTTGCCGTGTGTGTGTGATACAAGACTCGATGCTTTATTATAGATATTTTCAACGATAGAAAAAGCGGGAAAATGTCACATGACATTGACAAGACAGAAGCAATCATAATCAACCGGTAGCGATGAAACATTCTACAAACACAGACAAATTTAAGGATTTATATTGTAATGAACATTTAATAACATTTTATAAATAATAATCTCAAGCATACCACCTATGCTAGAATTTACCACGGCATAACGGCAAAAATGTCGTAAAAAGTAAAAGCTGAAGCAAACACGGACTGCCACGGTAATAAAAATAGCTCAAATTGCGTCGTTGTCCACGTGTACACGTATCAAAAAGTTATGCCTTTTATATATACATGTAGACGTATGAAATGCATAGGTAATAACTTTTCAATATATCATACAGTCGTTCAGGGGCGGCTGGGGTGGGATTAGGTCAATAATTCAGAAATGTCCCAAGCATACCCTTAATAGTTCATTTTTTCATAAGAATGCTCACTTTCTAAAATAGTGCCCTTATTATAGAAGGTTATGACATGATGGCAACCATTGGGAACACGAATAACTAAAGGATCGAAAGGAAAAAAAATTTCGATGACTTTATTACTCCAAAAGGAATCTGTAAATTTTATACTTATGACATTACCACCAAACGCAATTAGAACCAGATTAATTGACACGGAAAATCATTGCACGGGGCCGTTTGTCTATCTACAAATATAAAAATTGCACGTTCAGTGACGGAAAATGACAACAGGACATAATTTGTTAAATATGAAGAAAGACAGCCGTGCCTTATAATTGTCGGTTAATTTTTGTTACAGCATTTATAAATTTTTGGTGCCGTTATAGAAGAATCCTCATTTCAAGCACTGGTCATGATCTAGGCATACTACTACTAATTAATCATGCAACAAATAATTATTAAGTTCTCAATAGACGTTGTGTATTTTCAACTACGTGTGAAGAGCGACCTAATTATTCATAGGCGTACGAGCCAGGGGGGCAAGCTCACTTTTCGGGCAGAAGGGTAAAGTGAAAAAAAAATTTTTTTATTTCATCTACTTGGCAAAATAAAGTGCCCGAAATCTAATAAAACACTAAATTTACTGGCTGGAATAGCAGTAAAACGCGTTTGCGGCCATCAAATATTCCAAAATTTTCTTCGGGGGTCAGTTCTGCCTCTTCACCCCTCGAAGAAAACCGGCGCCGCTGTCTGTAAACCTAAAATTCTTTCGGGCATTTTTAGTTTTTCTTCCCTAACTGTCATTGAGCCCTAATAAAACACTAATTTTACTTTTCTTTTACTTGAATACCACAAATTTGTACTGAGTTGACTATAGATTAAAACATTTTGTCTGGAGCCACTCTACTTTGTGCGACATTTTTCGAGCATCGATTATTATTTATGAATGCAGCTGCAACGGTCTGATTGGATGGTTGGAATTCAGAATGGGATTTCGGTTACAAAACCATTGGATACTTTTGGAGTTTTCTTACACGGGCTAGAATAGCAGAAAACGCATTTGCGGTGGTTAGATTTTCAAAATTTTCTCGGGGAGGGTGAGGCCCCGAGGGTGAGGCCCCTCATACCCCACGACGATTGATTGGTTGTTTGGAATTCGGGTCAGCCAGGTAGGCTATATTGGACCAAATTGAAGTTGCTGTATTCACAGACTGGAATAGCAGGAAATTGTGTATGCGGCTGTTAAATTTTCAAAATTTTCTCCAAACGGTCCCGTCTCCGTGGACTGTAAAACGATTGATCTTTTGATTGGAATTCGAGTCAGCCATCTTAATTAGGCTATATTAGACCACTTTGAAGTTGCTTTGTTCATGGGTTGAAATAGCAGGAAATTATGTTTGCAGCCGTCAAATATTCCAAAAAATTTTTGCGGGGGGGGGGGGGGGGGAATATCGGCGCCGCTGTCTGTACACCCGAAATTTTTTCGGGCATTTCGGGTTCTGCCCCCCTAAATATCATCGAGCCTGTACGCCTTTTTAATTTTTTTTCAACAAACATCATCTTCTATCCCGATATAAAACCTCTACAAAAACAGTACATATACGCAATCCATAAAAATATGGTACAAAAATGCATTTCGTTTCGCGTAAAACAGAGGATATGACGTCAAAAAAAGGTCAAACTATCCCAACATGTCGACTGAAAGAAATGCTGGTGTATG